TACTGCTGTCCCTGTAAGGCCAAGCACAGGGCTAGGCATGTAGTATGTTGGCACTTGAAATGAGATGCAGCGGGGAGCAGGCTGGGCAAAATGGGGAAGGGGTATCACTTCACCCTAAGAGAGGAGTAAGAGAACCCTCTTACCCTCTTGTGTACCTCACCCCTTCTCTTCTAGAGGGCTTTCCCCAGCTCTGATGGGCGCACCCAGGCTTACAGCCCAGAATGCAGGCCCAGGGGAGCACTGCATCCCCAGCTATCCCTGAAGCAAATGAAAAAATATAGATATAGGAAATGTGCTTGTGATTCTGTCACGGGGATATACAAATAAAATATATATGATAGGCTTATCTGCCTAATATTCCTGCCAATTCATTCTCTGGGTGTGATTAAAATGAGCAATAAATTCCTCGTGAGTCTCGGTGGAATGAGGATTCAGGAGTGGAGATGCACGCTGGCACCAGCACATCCCCCTCAGCTGAATATTCATCATGGAATAGCTCCCCATATTTTTGTTTTATCTGCCATCATGTGCACAAAGATATATTTCTACCTCTCTCCCTCATCTCTTAGTTAAAACATGAAAATGGTCTACTCTCCATGTAGTAAAATTCTTCAAACTGAGATCACAAGCTACCTTCTCTATGAAGCCTGCCCTGCTCGTTCTGCCTGGAGGTGGTCCATGCTTTCTTGGAGCCCCCCCAAACTCTCTGCAGACCACTCCTAACGTACAAACCAGTCTGTGGGTATGAGAGCTAAGAGTGCCTGCCTCTCCCCCATCCTCCTCTTCTAGCCAGCCAGCTCAGAGGACAGGGGCTGGGCTTCATCTACTTCTGAATCTTCTCAGGGGGCCCAAGGAAGCTACTGCACAGAGAATGCTGAGAAACTGAGCAAACTGACAGTAAGGAGAAAATCATTTAGGCCACTTAAGGTGACAGAGATTCTTAGATAAGTGATACATTTTAAAAGGCAGAATGAAATTAAAGATTATGCTTATGGATAACTTGAAAATGGGAAAATTATCAAGAAATAATATTAAGCAGAGCACCTGGCTGGCTCAGTCGGAAGAGCATGCAGCTCTTGATATCAGGTTCATGAGTTCAAGCCCCCACATTGGGTGTAGAGATTACTAAAAAAATAAGTAAACTTAAAAAAAAAAAAAGAATATTAAGTGGAAAAAAACCCCCAGATTCCAAATATGGAACTAGGATCATAACTCAAACACCTTCAGGGCCAAGTAGGAAATATAAATGTCTGACAGGCCAGCACATAATATAATAAGGAGTTGAGGGGCCTGTGGCTGGAGAATCCACACTCCCAACCCCCAAGGGGTCACATTTTTTAAATAAATTCTTGGGTGGCAAAATAAAATATGGCTGCCAGTTTGAGACTCCTGTATATACAGTAGGCTATCAATCAGGTTTAAAAAAAGAGGCCAACTATATATAGATAGATAGAAAAGGTCCAGAAAAGGCAGATCTAATATCATAAAAAGAAATCCTCTCATTCATATCCCAATAGTTACTTAAAACAACTTGATTTTCTGGAAGTCATCTGCTTTCTTTTCTTTCCTTTTTTAAAGATTTTATTTATTTATTTGACAGAGAGAGAGATAGTGAGAGCAGGAACACAAGCAGGGGGAGTGGGAGAGGGAGAAGCAGGCTTCCCGCTGAGCAGGGAGCCCGATGCGGGGCTCGATCCCAGGACCCTGGGATCATGACCTGAGCTGAAGGCAGACACTAAATGACTGAGCCACCGAGGCGCCCCAGTCATCTGCTTTCTTTCTTTCAGCTTCAGTTTTTGTTTTGTTTTGTTTTTTTTAAGATTTTATTTATTTATCTGATAGAGAGAGAGAGCACAAGTAGGCAGAGTGGCAGGCAGAGGGAGAGGGAGAAGCAGGCCCCCCGCAGAGCAGGGAGCCAGATGCGGGGCTTGATCCCAGGACCCCAGGATCATGACCTGAGCCGAAGGCAGCCACTTAACCGACTGAGCCACCCAGGCGCCCCTCAGCTTCAGTTTTCCCATCTGTAAAATGGAGGTAGTAAGAGCTGCTTCAAAGATTTGTTATAGGATTAGAAAAAACACAGAGAGCACCTGGCACAGCACCTATTATTCACTTGGGCACTAGCCTTGTACTAACATGGCCAACATTAAGCCCCTCTAAGGCAGCCAAATTTAGTTAAGGGTTCCTCAGCAGCCCTAACCCCTCCACCTATGCTGGCACTAAGAGGCCTGCCCTCTGTCATACCACTGAACACACCATGGGCTCTCTTGGCCAAGTCCAGGGTGTGCTCTCATGGGGACAGCTATTGTGCCTGAGAGGGATGACAGGAGTGCAGTCCCCGAGGTTATCTGAAACATGTGTAGGGACTTCCTTAAGACACCTGAGGAAACTGACCTGACCTCGAGGGCTGCTCCTAGGGGTGGAAAATCTGAACAGAGAGGAAGGAAGTGCTTGTTCTCTAGGAACGTTCACTCTTGCTAGTCCCAGGCACTCCTCAGGATGTGCTGTGAAAGCCCATCTCCCTTCCTACTCTCCCACCTTCTCTGGAAGAAACTACCACAAGATAGTTACTAAGGATCCCAGGGAGACAAACTATATGGTTAATGCTGGTTGCCAGATATTTCCAGTTCTCCCCCTTCTGGGTACATGGTAGGATTACTCGTCTTGGCCTCTTGTGATTGGGTGGGAACAAGGCATTAGTTCTGTCCAGTGAGTTGTGAGCGGAAGTAAAGGGTCTACTTATAGACTGAGCATTTAACTACCGATGCAAGACCCTCCAGAGCATTCTTTTCCCTCTGGCCAGCAACCTGCAACATCCCAGAGGGTGGCTCTAATGCCAGTCTAGTCTCTGAGGACCTATGATGAACAGAGACCATCATGGACAGGCTGCATGAAGCCAAAAATAAATCTTCACTATTTTATACCACTGAAATCCTGGGTTGTTACAACATAATCTGGTTTATTCTGACCAATACATAGATAATTGTATACTGAATGGAACCTTAGAAACCATTTTGTGCAATGCTTTCATTTCACAGAGGTAAACTGAGCTTCAGTGAAGGGAAATACTAGCTCCATGTCACCCAGTCAGTAAGTGGTGGAGTTGGGATCACAACTCATGTCTTGTGTGTCTCAGTCCAGTGACTTAAGGGCTCTTACTCAAGACATAGAATATCTGACACTAGGTGGGACCTGTCATACTGAATCATCTCAAGGCACTTCAGCCAATGTGCCAAAAGAGACTCCATGATGATGGAAAGAGCAGAAGAGTGAGAGTCAGTAACCAAGTCTGCTCTTTCACGAAGATGGCACCAAAACCGAAGAAGGGAAGCCCCTGCCCCTCCCAAAGCCAAAGCAAAGCCAAAGCCAAAGCCAAGGCTTTTAAGGCCAAGAAAGCAGTGCTGAAAGACATCCACAGTAACAAAGAAAAGAAGGTCCGCATGTCACCTATATTCCCATGGCCCAAGACACTGCGTCTCTGAAGGCAGCCCAAATATCCTCCAAAGAGCGCCCCCAGGAGAAACAAACTTGACCACTATGCCATCATCAAGTTCACCCTGACTACTGAGTCAGTCATGAAGAAAATAGAAGACAACAACACACTTGTGTTCATTGTGGATGTCAAGGCCACCAAACACCAGATCAAACAGGCTGTGAAGAAGCTCTAGGACATTGATGTGGCCAAGGTTAATACCCTGATCAGGCCTGATGGAGAGAAGAAGGCCTATGTTTGATTGGCTCCTGACTATGATGCTTTGGATGTTGCCAACAAAACTGGAATTATCTAAACTGAGTCCAGCTGGCTAAATCTAAATTTTTTACCATAAAAAGAAAACAAACAGGGGAGGGGGGTGGGGGGATGGGTTAGCCTGGTGATGGGTATTAAAGAGGGCATGTTCTGTGTGGGGCACTGGGTGTTATGCACAAACAATGAATTATGGAACACTACATCAAAAAGTAATGATGTAATGTATGGTGATTAACATAACAATAAAAAAATTTAAAGAAAAAACAAATAAAAAAAGAAAATGAGTCTTTCATTTCTACTCCTACCACTGAACCTACTACATGACCTTGTATTCAAGTCTGTTAGTTTCTGTTTTGACACTAAAGCACTTTGGGGCCAAAGGCAGCCATGTCACATCCCTGGGCCCCAGTTTCCTCAGCAGTAAGATGAGTCCACTGTTTAGGCTTCAGAGATTTGAAACGTGTGCCCTGCAGAAGGACCCCCACAGAAGCTGCCTGGGAGAGAAGGGCTAGGCAAGGTGGCTGTGGCGCTGGCCCACCTCTTAGCTTTAGTTTCCTCCGACTTGTGCTCGCTTTGGCAGCACATATACTAAAAATAGTTTCCTCTGACTTATTTGTTTAGGCTTTGGTAGGATTTCCGACCACTGGACTTGATGATTTCTGAGGTCCTTGGCAGCTCTGAGATTTGTGATACTAGTTCTTGGGTTCTGCCCAGTAGTTCCTGAGGGATAGCGTGGTGGCTGGGAAGAGCAGAAGGCAGCCTGCATTTAGGGAGTTCAAAAGTTTGGTTGAGAAGATCAATTTATAATGGAGATATTTTTGGCTTAGACTGTACCAGGCTCTCTGGAGTATGTGTGGAAGGGAGTGGTGAGGGAATGATTCTGGAAGGAGTGATGATGGGAAAGGATTGCCTGTGAGATTAAAGAATATGTGAGGCCTGGGGTAATAGTACTTGGGCTAAAGATTTTGTCTAACTATCCCTGGTCCTATGAAAAGGAGCTAGAAGGCCTATTACCTCAACAACTGAATTTGAAGATTAGTCCTCAGAAGTCAGAAGTGGCTCAGGCCTCTGCCTGGTCATGACAGGGGCAGCTTCCTATTCTTGATGAGATTGGGGGCTAGATTTGTATTTAAACAGACAATAATCATCTAAGGAGAAGTGGCTTTGGTATGGAGCCAGACATAATTTAATGAGTGAAAGATTAAATGCAGCACGGAGTGCCCACAGGCCTTCTCCTTTCTCTGAGACTTACCTTTGCCTCAGAAGTCCTCAGAAGCTTCATCACCTCCCCTTCTCGGGCATAATCCAAGGGTGTGTGTCCCATTTCATTCCTCTGCAGGGGGTTGGCTCCTGGCAAGAAGAGGAGTAGTCAAAGACTCTATGAATGATCGGTGGGGCCTCAGCCTTCCCTCAGAGGTGACTTGGGCCCTGATTTCAGAGGAAGGAATTCCCATGGAAACAGGGAGCAACAAAACCTAAGAGATTGTAGAATAGTGTGAAAAACATGTCAAGGTACTCTGAGAGGACAGTCCTTAGTTCTCTGGCAGAGAGGTTAGGGTATCGGGGTTCCTACACATACATGCACACATGTGCAGAAACATACTACTCATACTACTATACACAAAGATGCGTTATATACACATAGATGTGTTGTACACAAATACACACACACACCCCCAAATACACAGAGCTATCCTACCACCAATGCGTCAGTCATTAAAATGTCCCTATGATTAAGCTCATTTGCATAAAGATGAATATTCATTAATAAAATCATATAAAAGGGTTCCTTTCTAAAGCACAGAATATCCAAAAAAAGGTAAAACAGCCCCCTTTTTTCCTGCTCTCTGCTCCGCACTCTCTCCTTTAATGCTTTTTTACCTTGGTATTTCCTGCCTACCAGAGTTAGCAGAGTCCTCTGAAAGGAAGTGGACATCACCAGGAACCTGGCTATGGTAGCCCCAAGGTTTGATGCTCTTACCAATGCTAACTGTTGGTGAGTGTGTGCATGTGGGCAGGCATTTCTTCCAATCATTAATTCCTGTAATTGGAGGACAAAGAACTTGGGAGTATGATAAAAAGAAGGGGCTTGCCCAGGCCATGCATCTACCTTCTTTCTATGTTCTGGCAGCTGATGAGCCTATATATCAAGTGTCTACTTGGTGTAATGTCTTGGCAGATTTGGAGGAAAGGCTCCCCTGACCTCCATATTGTTAGAATCTCCTTCCCAAAGCCCAGGTCTGAACACCTCACTCCCCTCTTCAAAAACTATACATTCCATTCAGTTTGGCAAACCTTGAATGTGTAGGGCTTGAGACACAGAAGAATTACATCTGGCCTGGCCCCGAAGCACTTCTCTCAGAGCAGGGAGACCGAAACATAAGAAAGCTATGCCTTGAACAGAGCAGATGCTCAAGAACTAGGTACTAAACAGAACATTCCTTGATCTTTCTTGCTAAGGAAGTACTGTCTAAAAGTAAGGAAGGGTTAAGACAGTCCCTGCCATAAGGATGTAGTGGGCTGGCTGGGAACACTAAATATGCACGCAAACGCACATCAGCATGGGGCCTGGCTCAAGGTGGGTCTGTCTAGCTACTGTTTGCGGATGGACTGTAAAACTCAGCATTTCTCATTCCTAGGCTGTGGAAACATTTGTTCCAGGATATAAAACTATTCCTACTGAAGTTCTCTGCTTCTTAAAGGTTTATAAATTTATCAACAATTGTAAGCATTTATTAAGCATTTACATGTGGCTGTCTGCCTGGGCTGCAGAGGAACAGGTGTGGGAGGGAGGAGGAGGGAGTGGGGCAGAGAGCAAGAAGTATGATCCAGGCCAAGGATACTTATTATCAATGAGAAAAATTAATACTTTTATACATGATCCTATTTTCTAATAGGAATTTGAAATAAAATATTTATATTTTTTTATTGATATAATTCACATAACATAAAATCCAACCTTTTAAAGTGTATAATTCAGTGGTTTTAAATATACTTACAGGGTTGTACAACCATCACCGATTTCAGAACATTTTTTTTTTAAAAAATTTTTTTTAAGATTTTATTTATTTATTCATGAGAGACAGAGAGAGAAAGAGAGAGAGAGAGAGAGAGAGAGAGAGAGAGAGAGAGAGAAGCAGAGGGAGAAGCAGGCTTCCCCACTGAGCAGGGAGCCCAATGCGGGGCTCGATCCCAGGACCCTGGGATCATGACCTGAGCCGAAGGCAGACGCTTAACCATCTGAGCTACCCAGGCGCCCTTCTTTTTTTTTTTTAAGATTTATTTATTTGACAGAGAGAGACACAGCGAGAGAGGGAACACAAGCAGGGGGAGTGGGAGAGGGAGAAGCAGGCTTCCCGCGGAGCAGGGAGCAGGACGCGGGGCTTGATCACAGGACCCGAAGGCAGACGCTTAACGACCGAGCCACCCAGGCGCCCTCTAGATCATTTTCATAACCTCGAAAAGAAACCCCATAACCATTCCCCCTAAACCCAGCAACCGTTAGTCTACTTTCTGTTCCTATAGATTCGCCTATATTTGACATTTATATAAATGGAAACATACAATATACGGCCTTTTCTGTCTGGCTTCTTTCAGTTAGCACGTTCTCAAGGTTCACTGATGTTGTAGTAGGTGTCATTCATGCTGCAACATGAAAGCAGGAATGCAGCATTCCTTTTCATGGATGAATAAAGCTCCATTCTGTGGATAGGCCACATTTTGTTTAGCCATTCATCAGTTGATGGGCATTTGGGTTGTTTCTCCCTTTGGCTATTGTGAACAATGCTGCTATGAACATATGTGTACAAGTCTTTGCGTGGAAGTGTTTTCACGACTCTTGTCCATAAATCTAGGAGTGGTGATAATAGGGGCTGCAGGTATTTACTGAGCACTGACTATGTGCCAGACACTGAGCTCTGAACTTCACGTACACTGTATCACTTAAACCTTGCAACCACTGTTGAGAGGGAGAAATTAAAATCCCCAGGCTACAGACATGAAAACTGGGGCCCAGGAAAGTGAACCAACTAGCCCAAGGTCACAAAGCTAATTATCTGCTTGGGCCAGGAGTCAAACCCATCGCTAGGTTTTCTCAACTCCAATTCTCCACACTCCCACAGGGCAGCCATGACACAGTCCTACCGAAAAATCCTTCCCTGGCTTTTCAGCGCTTACAGGATAAAGTGCCACCTCCCTGGTAAGCAGGGTGTCTGTGCTCTTCCTAACTAGTAGGCAAGTCCTTAGGGGCTCTGTCGGAGTCTCATTCTTTCAATTCTATTGGCGGTGACTGGGTGCTTTGTATCTGCAGGGCTCTTTATGTAGGATGACGGCGGACTGGCAAAACCAAGGAATAGTCTTCTTTTTGTATTTCTTTTTTTTTTTAAAGATTTTATTTATTTATTTGACAGAGAGAGAGACAGCGAGAGAGGGAACACAAGCAGAGGGAGTGGGAGAGGGAGAAGCAGGCTTCCCGCTGAGCAGGGAGCCCGATGCGGGTCTCAATCCCAGGACCCTGGGATCATGACCCGAGCCGAAGGCAGCCGCTTAACCGACTGAGCCACCCAGGCGCCCCTCTTTTTTGTATATCTTGACCACTCTGTAGCAACTGATACTTTGGCCACTCTCCTTTGAGTTCTATAAAACCATTTTTTCAGGTTTTCCTCACACCCCTGTAATCATCTCTTGCGCAGACTTCTCTTCCTGTCTTTAAGATTAGGTGTTACCTAGAGTTTGCATCAAGGCACAATTCCAGCTTTCCAGAAGCTAATGGGGATGAGAGATGACCAAACAACTACAACTTGGGCCGAATGTGTCAGTGTGCTGAAGGAGGGACAGACAGTACTGTGGGGGCCCAGGAAGGAATGAAGTACTAAGGGGCTTGTTCACCTGGTTTGGCCTTACCAGCCCATCCCTGGTCTCTCTGGTGCTCAACAGTGAGGGGCTCCACAAGGCTGAGGGCCAGTGGCAGATGGCATCTCCCCTTCCCCCCAAGTTCCTAGATCATGGCTAGGGCTGAAAGGGACCTACAATTCAGCAGTTTTGGAAAGGCCTCCTTTCTTAGGCAGCCTCAAGGGGAACTCAGTCGCTAGATATGGGCTGGAGTGAAAGGGGGATCTATAAGGGGAGACCTATAGAAGGGAAAGACAAGAGGAGCGAAGAGGAGAAGAGAAATGGAAGAGAAGGGGGGGAGGAGAGGAAGGGAAAGTGAGAGAGAAGACAGTGGGAGACTGCGTCAAACAAGTGCTGTCAGTGATCTATATTTGCTTACAGAATGAAAAATGTGTGCCATAAACATTGGCCACTGAGTAATTTCTAGTAGGAGTCGTGTCACTTCTCATAAAGGATGGGATGGGGACAGGTAGGACATCTCTGCATCTGGGCCAGCCAGCACAGGGATGCCTTTTAAAGGAGTGTTGGGCCTATCTCTAGCTCAGGAGGCTCCCGGTCAGTCCCCACCCCAGCCACTCCTGAGGGGGGAAGCCAGCCGGTTTCCCCAAGGTTCTGCAGCCTCAGGGCAGCACTTCTGCTCCCACTTTAGGAAGGCTGAGTGGGGGCACCATGGAAAATATCCATCTAATATTAGTCCCCCAGCCCCCCACACCTTTGCTCTCATGCTCTGACTTGACTAATTGCTGTAATAATTGATAGAACCTGACTTCTACAACTGATCGATTTCACCTCCACGACCAACGGCCACAAGCCATTATACTCCAATAAATAACCACACTGGGTCTCACCCGCCTGCCCTCTCCGGGGGCATCAGGATAGCCTGTGCCCTGGCCTGACCTCCCCTTGTCTCCCACCCAGGGCCCCTCAGGGCCGAGCAGCTGGTCTAGAGGGTCAGGCCTCTGGGAGCAAGTGAGAGGGCCGAATGGAGGTGGGGAGTGCTAATCGCAGGCCATCCGTCACCTCCCACTGGCTGTCTGGGGCTGGGGCCAACACCTGGAGCACCCCAGGCAGTATAGTGCAGGACCCCTCCTCTCCTCTCCCTGCTCCAGATTAGTGTGTCCCAGCTTATAATATTTGATAAATAGCAGACTGGCTTCCTGGCAGCCCTGCTGCGGCTGTGCCTGCCCGCTACAGCTGTGGAAGGTCACTCATTGGGGAAATATGTTTCTGTCAGTGGTATTGAAAAAAGTTTAGTGGAGTGACAGGCCTCAATTTTTCAAATTTTATTAACTCCATCCTCTTAACCATTTGTCTTGAATTCCTTCAGATTCTCGGGGACCTGTCAATAGGGTTTGGGTCAGGAAAGTAAGGTGTGTGTGTCGGGGGGTGGTATGGGCTGGTCCTGGCTGGTACCAGTGGCTGGCTTGGGTCTCATCATGTAAAGCAGTGGAAATGGTGTT